ATCTCTGCCTCCATTGCCTCCTCCTCTTCTGTGTCTGTCATCACATCTCCCTCTGCCTTTGTCTTATAAGGAAATATGTCATTGCATTTAGGGTCCAACCTGATAATCAGGGTGATCTCCCCATTTCAAGATCCTTACTTTAATCACTTCCGCAAAGTCTTTTTTTGCCATAAAAATAACATTCACACTTTCCAGGGATTAGGACCTAGATATTTTTTGACAGGCTATCATTCAGCTTACCAAAAAGTGGAATACTGTAACCAGACCCAGTGGGGGAATAATATAGTGACCTGTTTCTTCTTCCACTCTATGCAGTCCACAGAGATCAGCCTCTTAGTGGCATTCAAAGGACTTAATGGTTAAAAAAAAATGGCTGAGGATTAGATAAGGCAAAATGAGTGAAGTGCTTAGCACAGTGCCTGGCTCACAGTAAGCACTGTCCATATAAGATAATTCAGGTAATACTACTCTTCCAGTGTCCAAGCCAGGCTTCCCCAGCAAGTTTTACCCAATGTGAGAAAAAAAAAACCCCTAGAATCTGAGCAGAGACCCTCTGTGGCCACTATTGCAGTAGGAAAGAGCACATAGCCTACTTTTCTACCGACTCTCAGTCCAGAGGTTTATAATATTTTGGACTTCAGTCAAATCTGGGGGTGGATTTCCTTTTAGTTTATCATAACTTTCATTTCTCTTTTCTCATGTTATTCTCATAGGAGCTCTTTGAGGCATGTGGGCTAAGTAGTTATCTTCAATTTTGTTTAAGAATAACTGTGGCTGAGACCTTGTTGTGTAACATCACATGACTAATTAGTAGTACGACAGAAACTAGAATCTTGGGTTCCTTGTGCCTGTGCCTTTTCCCAGACCTTGCCACTTCGTGAAACTCACGTCTTAGTTCTACAAAGCTGTCAAGCAAATTATTGTTTGGTTTCTTTAAATGCTTCTTGAGTCAGGTTTTAGGAAACTATCTTTCATTAACTAGTGCAGTTTGGGTCAGATGCGAGCAGATGCAGAGATTCAGCACATGTGTCTTGTGTCCCAGACTTGACCTTTATCCACTGGGGCTTCATGCTGTGTCCCTGGTCCAACTCTAAGTCCTAGAAGGAGGTGGACCTTGATTTTCAGATGGAAGGAAGGGAGATTACAATAAACAGGCTGGTGATGATTTTTTTACATGGAAATACTAGGAGCTTCTGAGTAGGACAGTTATTTCGCAGGACTCTGTTCTTCCGTTCCCTTTTTCCTACTTTCCTACTTCCCACCCAACATGGTAGCCTGTATAAAAAGTTGGATTGAAGGTGATGAGTGAGTTTTTTTTTTGACATATTAGTTTGTAGTGCCAACAGAATATTGATACAGGTCTGGAGACATCTGGAAAGTAGTTGGAAATGAAAGTTTTGAGCTCATGAGGAAGGCTCTGTGTGGAGGTGCAGATCTGGTACACAGAAGTAATAGTTTAAGCTGCAGAGGAAAGATGCTAAATACAGAACTTAGGACAATGTCCTATTCAGGAATAAGAAGGGTTGAAGAGAGGTAAGGAAAATTAAAGAATTAGGATTAAAGCTCTGAGCAGCTAGAGGAGAAAATTGCAAGGAATGATTGGTGTGTAGTGTAGCATGCTACTGAGTTAGGATTTTTACCAGAAAGATTCATGAATTTACAATTAGGGGTTAGTTTAGTCCTCAGAAAATTTAAGTTTGAATAGGTTAAAAACAGTCACATGGTTCAAATATCAAAAAAGTATTTAAAAATAACCCCCAAAACTTGTCACTACTACTGCTGTCTTCCATCTGTCTAGAACCTCCTTCTCAAGTAACCACTTTAATTTGTGTACCCTTCAAGAGTTTTAGTGCAGATGTAAGTAAATATAAAAAAAATACACATTCTTGATTCAATTCCTTTTAAACACAAGATATAGAACATAGAATGTTATGAACCTTTTTTTCACCCAAAAATATATTCTGGAGATCTTTCCATAGAGAGTGTCTCCATCTTTTTTATAACTGAGTATCATTAGTGTACTTCAGAGAAACAGAGCATTTTGATAAAAAGAGAAATACAGAGAGATTTATTTTAAAGAATTGACTCACATAATTTTGGGGGTTGACAAGTCCAAAATCCATAGGGCAGGTCAGCAGTTTGGAAATTTGAATGAGTTGAAGTTGCAGTCTTGAGTCCAAAATCCCTAAAAGCAGACCAGCAGGCTGGAAACTCAGGATTTCTATGTTACCATCTTGAGGCAGAATTTCTGTCTGTTTTGGGAATCCCTGGGTTTTGCTCTTAAGGATTACAACTGATTGAATCAGGCCCACTCACATTATGAAGGGTAATAAACTTTACTAAATAATTTCATTACAAAATACCATCACAGAAACATCTAGTCTAGTGTTTGACCAAACAATTAGGCACCATAGCCTAGCCAAGTTGACACGTAATACTATCACAAGCTACATAGTATTTCACTGTATGGATGGCTATAATTTATTTAACCAATTCCATTATGGAGGACATTTAGGTTATTATCGATATTTTTGCTATTACAAGTTATTCAATGAATTACCTTATATACATATATATATATATATATGTCATTTTAAATATGTGCATATATGCAATAGTCAGATATTACCAAATTCCCCTTCATGGGGTTGCTCTCTATTACCAGCAATATGTGAGACTGACTCCTTATAGCCTCGGCAAAGAATGTTGTAAACCTAAGAATTTTTGCCAGTCTGATTAGTGAAAATGATACCTTGGTGTACTTTTAATTTTCCTTATCCTATGAGCAGATATAGTTGAGTTTCAAGGGAACAGGTCAAATTTAAAGGGCTATAGAATAAGTGGATGGTAAGGTGGAAAATGGAGGAAATATGTAGCAGTCTAAAGGGATGGAAATCTGGCCATATTAGGAGAGAATTAGCTTGGTGGCAAAAACAGCATATGAATTTAACGAGGATATTTTTAAATAGGAGGGACCTACTAGACTTGTTTAAAGTGATAATAAAATGAGTCACTAGAAAAGGAAAGATTGAAAAGTGAAAAGAGTGTGACAGGAAAGTCATAAAGAAGGCAGAAAGAAATAGTATCTCTGACAATGTTGGGATGGATAGAAGCTAAGCTGTGGGTGTGGAAAGTGTGAAGGACAGAAGGTTGTGGGTGGGGAGCAGATGGCAGGCACCTTTTAAAGGCAGAGGAGGAGGAGGACTTTTGGAACAAGAATTAAAAAGGAAGGATTAGATTCACCGATGGGTGAGAAAAAGCACAGGTAGCAGATGCTGCATCACCCACAGGCATGGGGGATTCCTGCCTGCCAAGACCCCAGGGTTCCAGATAAAAGGCAGAATGTTGCTGGATGATTCATCCATGTGGACACTGATTGAGTCAACAAATATTTACTAAGCAGTCACTCCATCAGGCATACTGATGTCACTAGAATGAAATGAGACATGAAATAGAGCAGAAGGCTATAAGCCAGATGCTAAAGTCATGTATGTAGGGAAGATTTGGAGGAGACTGAGATGTGGGAGAGCATGAAGGTAAGAGGAGTGTTCTAGAAAGAGTTGAGATTTACCTTAGTTTCAGAGGTACTGTGAAAACAACTAGTAAGAAGGTGGGTCCCAGGAAAAGGAATCAGTGAGCAGTACAGAGACAACAGTGGAGGTGAAAATTCTTCATTTGGGCAGTGGTCAAAGGATGGCTTGAACATAAGGTTGGAAAGAATTAGCTAGCCACATTGTTCCAAAAGAAATGCTTGTATACATTTTTTTTAATTATAGAAAATTTCAAATGGACACAAATAAAAAAGTAAAATCAAGTGTATTCTTCACCCAGCTTAAACAATAATCAGTATTTGCCAACACTGTTTAGAAATCCCTCCCTCACTCCCCACTTTTATTTATTCCTGGAGTGTTTTTAAGTAAGACCTAGACATCTTATCATTTGTCTTGTCAGTAAGTATCTTTTAACCAATAAGGACTTTTTCTTCCTTTTAAACATAACCATAGTGTCACTATCACAAGTAATAAAATTAAAAATAATTGTGGGGGAGGGTATAGCTCAAGTGCTAAGCATGGATGAGGTCCTGGGTTCAAGCCCCAGTACCCCATTAAAAAAAAGTTGGAAGCAATTTTACAGTATTGTTTTGACAATAGCAGACTGAAGCTTTTGCTAGGGGTTCTAATTAAAAACACTGTTTTTTTAGGAAACCTGAAGAATGCTGATACAGGGACAGGATTAATTCTTTGATAGTACCATTAAAAATTATATTGGAAAATATTAACTAATATGGGGAAAGTTCAAGATGAATGTGTAAACATTTTGCTACATATAAACTATACAACTTTTTTGTTATGTATAAGCGTACATATATATAGTCCATCCCCATATCTAGCATTGGTAGATACAGAGATATCAGAACAACAACAAAAGGCTGAAAGAACATTTACTAGTATGTACAGGGATTATCTGAGTAATGGGAACAAGCATTTATTTTTTGCTTTTCATCCCCTTATACTTTTCAGGGTGTATAGGTGTGTGTGTGTTAAGAGCGGGGGGTAGGGTGGCCTCTTTAATGGAGCTGAATAAATTTTCAGTGAAGAGAATTCCTCATCTTCAATCTCACAGTCCACAAATCAAAGAATCAGATTAATACATAACAGGCAAGAAAAACGCATGTAAAATAAATAAAACCTAACGGGTTTTCACCCTAAAGGGTGAAAGCTTCACTCTGATACATCAGTGCTTTAGAAAAAGAAGCCACAGAGCTTGTGACTAGGCCACCAGCCCCAAACGAAGGCCACTGGTACCCCCATAGTACTTAGCGTGGCACCGCCCACCCGCACAGACTTTAGAATCTTCAGCAGGTCGTCGATGACGTCACACAGGATTTTCCGTGCGGGTGGGACTTGGCCCTAAGAATTCTGGGAAATGGAGTCTGGGCGCTGTGACGATTGTGCCTCTCCGAGGTTTCTGGGAATTGTAGTTCTCAGACATAGATTCGGGCCAGGCAAGGCGCGGTCTTAGTTTGGAGTTTGCTCCGCGGTGTCCTCCCAAGGCCACCCACCACTGCTTTGGGAGGAGGGACCCAAGGCTCCGCAGGCTCTCACCTGCTACTGAAGGGGGTGAGAGGTCCAGTCCTTGTGTCGATTATGAGCTCCATAATAGCAGCCACTGAATCTGGAGGGCGAGGGAGGAGGCTGTGCCCGCCGGGGT